TATATATATATATATATATATATATATATATATATATATATATATATATATATATATATATATATATATATATATATATATATATATATATATATATATATATACATACATATATATATGTATGTATATATTAATTTGAGCATTACAACTTTATTATTATCAATGTTAGTATAACAATATATATATATATATATATATATATATATATATATATATATATATATATATATATATATATATATATATATATATATATATATATGTATATATTAATTTGAGCATTACAACTTTATTAATAAGCGCTTCGCGTAAGGAATTTAAAAATTATTATAAAAGATTTAACCTCATTCAATTCTAAAGAAATTGAAGACAAAAAAATAATTGATTACAAAAAAAAACGTTTATTTAAAATATTTAAAAAAATTGTAAGCTTAATCATAAAAATTAATCGTATGAACATTACAAAATGCTTTAAAACTTTTTCATTAAATCAACAAAATTTATGTTTATATAAGTAAATAAAGTTATTCCATATTCATGTGTAATTCACATAAAATGTGTAAAAGTTAGTAGTCACAAAAGCTTTTGAACTTATTCACAAGTTAAAGTAATTCAAAAAAATTATTTCTAAAAATTATCGTTTAAAAATGTTTTAGAAAGACATAAGAAAATAGTTTCAAACATTTAAATTTATCATAAAAAATAAATGCCTACATAAAAAAAACTTATTTATAATGTTTTTTATTAATTTACACAAGCGTTTATGTAAACAATTACTATAATTAATTATATGGTTTTATTTAAAGCCTTTGTGTAAAATAAAAAACTTTAGAAAAGGTCAACAATTAAAAGATATTTATAACATAACACTTTTTTTATTGCATTCAAATTGTTAAAACATTAAAATAGTCGTGGTCAAGTTGTAAAGAAATAAAAATATTAGCGTGGTCAGTTACAGAGTGCGATTGCACGCCATTCCTGTATGTATATATGTTATATGTATATATATATATATATATATATATATATATATATATATATATATATATATATATATATATATATATATATATATATATATATATATATATATATATATACATATATATATATATATATACATATATATATATATATATATATATATATATGTATGTATATATATATATATATATATATATATATATATATATATATATGTATATATATATATATATATATATATATATATATATATATATATATATATATATATATATATATATATATATATATATATATATATATATATATATATATATATATATATATATATATATATACATAAACCCACTAAATATAAACAATGCACAAACAAAACAACAGACAATTTTACAAACTAAACAACAGCTAGTTGTTTAGTTTGTAAACAAAACAATAAACAGTTGAACTTCTGCAATCCTTTTTCTATAATTATACTAAACATTGGATCGGAATCTAAAGTTATGCACGTTGAAATAAAAATAATTTAGATTACAGATATTTAGTTAAACAAATATAACACTTTGACTTTAGATTTTTAAAGAATATCTTAAACATTAAAATATTCCTCAATAATGCGGAAAATAAACAAAGCCACTAAATATTCTGCAAGCGGCGTTTAATTTGCAGCGCATGGAGTCGAGGCAAGTGTGACAACCATCCCCATATAATTTGTGACAAGCAACCCCTTCTGAGTAAGTTACTGGACACCTGTACATTTACCTAAAAGCGTGAGAATTTCATGATATTTTTTTACGGATTAAGTTACTCAAATGAATAAAGTACTTTATAAATCTACATTCAAAACACAATAAAATAATTTTCGTTTGGTAAAAGAAAATTTCTGAGTAGGCGAAATTTTACTTTTTCATATCAAAAACCTATAAAAACGAATAACTTTTCTTCTGCACGCTAAGAAAAGATAAAAATTACTGTAAAAATGTTTTTTTTATATAACATTTCCATTGTATAATTTGAAATTTCTATATCTTATTTACATTTCCTGTAATAAACTTTGTGACAACCAACCCGAGTGACAACCAACCCCGCTCTCCCCTATATATATATATATATATATATATATATATATATATATATATATATATATATATATATATATATATATATATATATATTATATATATATATATATTTTTTCCTGATGAGTCTTTATTGATGAAACACAGTATTAAATAAAATTTTTTTTTGCATATATATATATATATATATATATATATATATATATATATATATATATATATATATATATATATATATATATATATATATATATATTATATATATATATATATATTTTTTCCTGATGAGTCTTTATTGATGAAACACAGTATTAAATAAAATTTTTTTTTGCATATATATATATATATATATATATATATATATATATATATATATATATATATATATATATATATAATAATAATAATAATAATAATAATAATAATAATAATAATAATAATAATAATAATAATAATAATAATAATAATAATAATAATAATAATAATAATAATAATAATAATAATAATAATAATAGAATGTTATGTTTAATGTTTTAAACCATGATCAGGACATTTGTTGTTTACATTATGTTGATATTGTAAACAACAGATTTTCTTACTTTTCCTTTAATTTTTAACTTACCTTACATAAAAATTTCTTGAAAATTCAACTGATGATTAATTGAAGGTGCCAGTTCCATTTACAGAGTAAAATAAGTCAGATTTTGCAATTAAATTTAGGGTTGAAATAATATTTTACAATTATGTGTTTTATATCATTTGACATTAGAAAATATAACTTTCGGAACCATTAAAACAACTCATATAAAGTAACATATATATTATATAGCTCTAATTTATCTATTGTAATAGATAAATTAGAGCTATATAATATATATGTTACTGTTACCTGCAGTTCCAGGAATTAGCTAAATGCATATTATTTATAATATAATATTGCTACTCTAATTTTCATGTGTTACTACAATCTTCAGGCAAGTCGTAAAAATTAAATTTTGCTACTATTTGTTTAGTAAACATTACGGTTCATATTTGTATTTTAGATCATTATAGGATGGAAATTGTTTAGTAGTTAGGTTAATGTTATTATTAATTATATATTAATACTTGTTTAAAATATTTGTTTATGTGATAATGTGTATTATTTATATATTAAAAAATATATAATTAAAAATTGATATAAAAATATAAATAATATTATGAAATTTATTACAATAGCTGTGTATGTGAGTAATTTATCAGTTATCCTAGAGATATATAAAGTAGAGTTATATAGTTATTAATTATATATGCATTTGTTATATACCAATGTGTCGTTGCATTAAAGGCTTGGACAGAAATGGGACACTGTAACTGACCACGCTTATAATTTGTGGTTTTAACAATTTAAATCCAATAAAAAAATTGTTAATTTTTATGATAAATTTATAATCTTTACTAAAGTAACTTAAAAGAATGTTTTAAAAGGTTACTTTAATAAATTACTTTAAAAGAATGTTTTAAAAGGGTACTTTATAAGTTACTTTAAAAGAATGTTTTAAAAACTTTATAAGTTACTTTAAAAGAATGTTTTAAAAACTTTGTAATTTACTTTAAATCTTCCCATTGCAATAGAATGATTTAATTACTTAATTTTTTTGTTTCTATTTTTACTAAGAATTGTTCAAAACCTTTCATTTTTTAATTTAAATTTGTAATAAAATGATTAAAAATTACTTTTTTTTTTTTAAATTACTACGTTAATTTAAAAAAAAACTTTTTATGCAACTTTTTGGAAAAAACAAATGTTTATACATTTTAAAATTAAAATATAACGCTTTTAAATAGTTAAAATAAAATTTAAACAATAATTTGTAAAAGTGCTTAACTTTAATAAAACATTTCAAAAGATTTTTAAAGTAATTTATTTCAAACGCAGTTTGAAATAAATTACTTTACGCAGTTTGAAATAAATTACTTTAAAAGTTAACAAAAAGTAATTTTAGCTTTGAGTTTGAACTTTATTTTAGTGCTTATTTACTTTCTTATTATTAAGGAGTTGTTTTTATTTTTCTTTAGTTTTTTTTTTTTAATTTTCTTCCTAGTTAAAGTTTCGCTTAACATTTCTTAATTCAGCGTCTTACCAAAATCATTTCTAAAACATCAACAGTCGTGATCATGTTGTCAATAAAAAAAAATGTAGCGCTCGATCGCATGCCATTCCTGTCCAAGCCGTATATAATGTTTGTAGATTTATACTACCTATTCAGGGGTTATTCTGTTTTTTTTTGACAATTGCGTTTTAAGTCATCTATTTTAATTCTTCGGAAGATAATTTTTTTGTTGTGGTTTTTTATATATTTTTTCGATATTTTCAATGCAGCTTTAGCTTACCTTTACAATGTTTCTGTTAAAGATTTTGTGAAGTTTCTGTGTTTTAGGGAAGTTTTAGGTAAGTTTTTTTCTAGTTATTTTAATAAAATTTTTGTCTTAAAACAATCTAAAATATAAATATAAACATAATGTCTACTAAAGAAATCGTAGCAAAATTAAATTTTTACTACTTGCCTGAAAATTGTGGTAACACATAAAACTCAGAGTAGCAATATTATAAGCATTAGCATTTAAAAAATTCCTGATACTGCAGGTCACAGTAACATATATACTATATGTATATATGTATGTATGTATGTATGTATGTATGTATGTATGTATGTATGTATGTATGTATGTATGTATGTATGTATGTATGTATGTATGTATGTATGTATGTATGTATGTATGTATGTATGTATACATATATACATACATACATACATACATACATACATACATACATACATACATACATACATACATACATACATACATACATACATACATACATACATACATACATGTACACAAATTTATGTTTAGATTATTATCTGAGTTGTTTTTTTTTATCTTTTCGTTTTTAAGGAAAAAGATCTATGTGATGCCAATAAAAAGATTGATGAACTTTTGGAAAAAATCGAAAATTATAAAGAAACTTGCCAAGTATTTTTCTATTTATTACAAAGCTATTTTTTTTGCTTTATATTGACAATAAAAAAATATTTTTAACACAATTATGATTGCTTTCTGTAAATTTCTGGGTAAGATTCGGTATAATTGATATTGTTATTTTATTCCATTAATTTCATTATTTTTAACATTAAAAACTTAATGTTAATGTACAAAATGTAACATAAATACATTCATTATACAATTTATGTTTTTAATTGTTATATTAAAGTATTTTCATTTCATCTTTATACAATTTGTTATTATATTTATCACAAGAAAAATATTTGTTATTTGAAAAAACTGTATTAAATATACAGTTTTTTTTATAATAAATATTTTACTGATATATGTTGTTACATTCTTGGTTTTTTACTTGCACCCCACCAATGTTTTATTGTTATCTGTTTCCCCTTCTTCTTATCTCAATAAAAAATAAAATATATTTAATCAATGTATAGTAATCAAATTTAAAATAATATTTTAAAATTTTTTGTAAAAAGGTGTTTAAAGAAATAAATAAAATAATTTTGAAAATAATTTTTATAATCATTTTTTAAAGGAATTAAAAGAGAAGGAAACTGGCTATAAAAATGAAGTTGAAACTTTTCGCAATGAAAACTCAGGACTAAAAATTGAAGTTGAAAATTTAAAAAGTAATTTTCAATAAATATTTTAATAATTTTTAAAAAAATAATGGCTTAACATCTGTAATAATAATAATAATAATGATAATAATAATAATAATAATAATAATAATAATAATAATAATAATTATAATAATTATAATAATTAAATATTTAAAACATATATAATGATGTTATAAATAATAAAATTAATTTAAACAATTATTTAAGTTAAATATTTAATTTTACTTTAAGTTTAATTTAGACTAAATTGCATTGTTATACAAATGTTGACTTTAAAATATTTTTAAAATTCTCTTTTGGTGCTTGGTAATTTTGTGAAGAAAACTTTTTTTCTTTTAGAAAGTTAGTTATTTTAATACATATTAGTCATGTGTTTAATTAAATTATAGTTAATAGAATTGTTGAAAGGTGAATTATTTTAATTGAAGTTCATCTTTGACCCTTTAAAATTGAATAAAATTTTTCCAATTTGAAATTTTTAAATAAATTTGTGGTTAGTATAATGAAAGTTTTTAAAATGTCACGATTCCATGCTTAAAAAATTGATCCATAAAAAGTTTTTAAACTTTTTCTGTTTATTTTAAAATGCCTTTAGTAATAAAAAATAATTATTTTTTTTGCTCTTGGTGAAAAAAAAAAATTTTAATTTTAAAAAATAACATTTTAATATTGAGGTGAAAAAACTCCAAGCTTCCGAAAATTGTTACAAATTGTTTTTCTATTTTACTGTATAATAAATTTCAAGCATTTTTTTTAAAGTTGGTAAGTAAATTGGTAAGTTAGTTTACTAAATTGTAAGTTAAAAGTTTGTTTATAATAAACTAAATTTTTTATATATTGAAGAAACATTGTAAAGCAATTTACTAGTATTGTTTTTTATATTAATCTAAAAAACTCAAAACAGATGTAAACATTACTTGGTAATTGTTACTTGATAATAGTTGGCAGTTTTTGTTGTCATAAAAATATATTTTTTTACAGTTTTGGGCTTTTATTTATTTTTAGTTTTAAAAGTTACTTGAAAGAATTTATTAATAAAATTTAAAGAAAATGTTTCTATGATGATTTTAATTTTTTTCAAATTTTAAAGGAAAAAAATATAGATATAGAATTAAATAAAGAAAATAAAAAATATTTAAAAACTAATATATAAGAAAATATTTTTATTATAAAAATAATGCAGATTTAAAAAAAAAATGAAATTGAAAATCATTAGCACAAACTTCTAATTTTTTAATAAAGCTTTTAAAGATCATAGCTCGGTTGTTTGTAAGAAAAAAAAAAAAAAAAAAATGTTTAATTTGACACATTAGTTTGTAACATAATGAGTCATATGAGTAGATTATAAATATGAAAGACAGATGTTATTATGGCCATTTAATCATATCTATCACTTTTTTATCAATATTTTAGAATCCGTGAGTCAATTGCATACATCAATGTCACATGAAGATATTTCACAGGTGGAAATTATTTTAGTTGTATATGAGGTTTTGTATACTATACTTGTTTTCAGCATGCTGAAATAAAGTATTTAGTTTTATTTTTGAAAATGCTGATTAGTGTAGACAATCAGAGTTATATTAATTATAACCTTAAATAAGTTCAGTAAAGTTAGGTGCAACCACAAGACTGGCTGCCAGATAACAGGCCTTTCTGTAAGAGGCGTGGGATTGCATATCTCATATCACCATGCATATAGTTCTTTGTTTTGTATTGTGCATTTATCATTAATTTGCGCACACTTTGCAAATGTGTAAAAAAATATTTTTTGAAAAAAAAAATTTGAATAAATTTACCAAACTTCTTTAATATATTTTTGAACTTAATAACTTGAATAAAATTTATTTGAAATTTATTTGACATAAATCTCTTAAATTAAATGTTAGTCAATAAATATACGCAAGTCAAAATTTATTAAAAAAATAATGATGTCACGCCCTGGGATAAAAAATAGTTGGCAGATGCGATTGTTTCAAGATTATTGTAATTCTTTTTTTTAGTAAATAATTTCTTTATTAAAAATTATATTTCCATGATAAAACGGTTTGTAATTATTTTTTGATTAGTTTCTGTACTCATTTTGCCTTAAACTCTAATCTGAATATTTTTTTCAATGATTGCCTTTTATTAAGTTGCATTAAAGACTCAGGAAAATTTGTGGCAGTTTAATTGTTATTATGGAATCAATTAAATTAAAAATTGCATTTACATTTGCTTTGTTCTTTTTTTAGCGCAATTTTTTAAACACGCTCATTATCAAAACTTACAAAGAACTTTGGTCAAGTTGTTAAAACAAAGAACTACATGTGTGGTCATATAAGGCGTGTAATTGCACGCCTCTTATGAGAAGGCCTGTATAAGGAACAATTTTATGTACATACATTAACTGACAGGTTCCAGTAAGGCAAAATACGGATTTGTTGTCTTTTTTTTGTTTGTTTTTTTATGCATGAATAATTGTCATCTTTTAAAATATTATTTTAAAACTGACCACTGACCAAAACTGACCACTGACCAAAACTGACCACTGACCAAAACTGACCACTGACCAAAACTGACCACTGGCAACTTTGACAAAACTGAAAATTTGAACCAACTGAGCATTCTCAATATAATTTCAGCAGTGGTATTTTCGATGTAATGGTTGTTCTGTTTTTTTAATGGTAAAATGAGGAAAAATAAAGTTTTATGCTCTTTAATTTATTTTTGCAACACTTAAAGTAAAATTTTAAAAGTTGCTACAAGTAAATACTACAGTTTCTTTTAGTTTTCTATTTCTTCCTTAACCTTTATTTTTGATTTGTCTTTTAAACTAGCGTAAAAAGTATTTTTAATGTATTTTTTTATTTTAGTTAAAACAAGAAAATGTTTTTCTTCAAAAAGAATTGTTTCATGCAGGTTTGAATTTTTATGTTTGTAAATTTTTTTAAATGTTTGTTTTTTTATCTACACTGTGTGACATAATGATAAGACACTTACTAAAAAAATTATAAATTCTATATAAATTCTACTATACACTTAATATTTAAAATTCAATTTTTATAGTAAATGAGAGCAAAGACTAAACAACATTTAAAAAAATTTATTTTAAATGTTTTATTTTTACTAAAAAACTGTTTTTTTAGTGCAACAAAATTATAAGATACTTTTGGAAAAAGTTTATATAAATTGTCTTTTATTAAAAAAATGTCTCAATTTAAAAAATCAATAGTGAGTAGGTACTTTTATCATTTTTTTGAATCACTTCAATTATTCTAGAAGTTAAAAAATCATACAACTTTTTTATGTACGAAATGTCAATTGCATTCCATGCAGATGCGATGGATGATTTTAAGTCAGCTAGGAACTATATTGTTTACCACCTTCAAACAGTATATGTGACAGCTGTACCCAAGCATTTTCAATAATGATCAGGTCTGGAGATCTAGCTAGCCACTTCAATGTTTCAATTTTATTGTTGTTGTAGTTTACTATCTTAGCTGTATGAACGCTAGCATTATCTTGCTAAAAAGCAAAATTTTCACCATTAATGACGATGCTTCATGTTGTAAAAATTCTTGAACAGTTAAAAGATAATCCTTAGCCTTCATTTTTCTGTCAACAAAATGACTTTCTGGTTTACCATGATACCCAATCGCACACCAAATTATTACACCACCACTACCCATTTGACGTCATTGCTGTGTTACTGGTTCTTTACCCAAATTGTGAAAATAATAGTTCCATCTATCTAGCCCATCAAGATAAAAATGCTTTTTCTCAGAAAATACTACTCATTGCCACTCTTCTTTTTCATGTTACGTGGTCCATTGCAAAAGTTATTTGATCCTTTATGTGTATTGTTGTCAAACAGGGTTTTCGCTGAGGTTTTTTGTGCAAAAGGTAAAAAGCATTATGAATAACTCGCTGAACTGTATGTAAATTAGCAATCTCACCTGCTTCTGCAGCAATTTGACGTGTAGTTAATGAAAAATTTGAAACTTGTCTCAATAACCTTTGCCTATCACGTTCACTTAATGTTGATGGATGTCTAGGACTTTTTTTTATTCCATACATATGAGGACTATGTTTTTAGTCATAGTTGGGCTGCGTCCAATGGCTCTAGCTATGGATGCAGCCGAACTGTGACCCATTTTCAATAAGTTAGAGAGCACTTTTTTCTCATATGGACTCAACAATGCATCACAATCGATTAATAATTAATTTGATGTTTTATACTTAACAAAAAAAGAACCTAAATTAAATTTTTGACAGTTAACAACAGTTTACAGTTAAATAATCGTCAATTAAAAAATGTTAGAAAATGTTTTATGTTTTTTACGTTTTATGTTGTTTGTGTTTTATGTTGTTTATGTTTTATGTTGTTTATGTTTTATGTTATTTATTTTTTATGTTGTTTATTTTTATGTTATTTATGTTTTATGTTATTTATGTTTTATGTTATTTATGTTTTATGTTGTTTATGTTTTAGGAGAAAGAGAGAAGCGCAAAGAATGTTTGATTGAATTGTCTAAATCTCGTCAAGAAAGAACAGAAGCAGAGTTAGGACATATGAGACAGGTATTATTTTTTACAGAAGATAAGCTTCTAGATAGAATTGTCTTTTTTTATTTTTAAAAACATAAGAATCAAAAGCAGTCTTTTTTTTTTTTTTTTAATGTTTTAAGTATAAATCACTTATTAAAATTTTTATTTTCTCTTTAAATTAAAAAATCTGAAAAAATCTTGAGGTTAAAGGTTTAAAAAATTAGAAATTAAAAAGCCAAAAGAACAACTCTCAGTTGAACAAATGCTTATTTATTAATGCAAAAAGGTGCTGTCAGATGCTCCATTATATCTTAAAAGATATGCTCTAGAGGCTTTTAGAGAATCTTCAACAAAGTCGTTAACTAAGGCAGGTCTAACATTTCATCTCATTAGCTCTCCCGATGATAAGGCTTAACTATTTGCAAAGGACTTTTCTTTTAATTCATCTCTTGAATCTTATGATTACTCTTTTGTTAATTTCAGTTAAACAGGTTAATCCTTTATTAGACATTCAACAGGTTAATCCTTTATTAGACATTCAACAGGTTAATCCTTTATTAGACATTCAACAGGTTAATCCTTTATTAGACATTCAACAGGTTAATCCTTTATTAGACATTCAACAGGTTAATCCTTTATTAGACATTCAACAGGTTAATCCTTTATTAGACATTCAACAGGTTAATCCTTTATTAGACATTCAACAGGTTAATCCTTTATTAGACATTCAACAGGTTAATCCTTTATTAGACATTCAACAGGTTAATCCTTTATTAGACATTCAACAGGTTAATCCTTTATTAGACATTCAACAGGTTAATCCTTTATTAGACATTCAAATCACTCCAGCTTTTGTTGCTCAAAATATATATCAATTAAACTCTTTTATGGCTTGTGGTCCAGACAACATTCCTGTCATATTCTTATAAAAGTGTTCTTCAGAACTTTCTTTAAATTTACTTGTCTGGTGAACAGGCTAGGGCTTTTGCTCTTGACATATTGAAAGTTTTGGATAAAGTTTGACATGCTGGCCTTCTCCGTAAACTAGCTTGTATTTCTTGGAAAGTTTCTAAGTTTATCAAATCATTTCTTTCTAACTGCTTTATTAAAGTCATCCTTGAAGGCCAACACTTTTCTTAAATTTCCAGTAACTTCTTGGGTGCTTCAAGGTTCTATCCTTGTTCCTGATTTGTCTCTTATCTACATTAATGATCTTCCTGACAACATTACATCTAATGCAACTCTATTTGCTGATGACTCAACTTAATACTTCTGTCAAAAGTTTTCTCTTTCTGATTGCTTAGAACAGACATCTGATCTTAAATTTGATCTCACTTTACAGCGATGTAAATTTACAAACCACTGCAAGCCCCAATCTGTAACAGATTGGGGCTTGCAGTGGTTTGTAAATTTGATTTTAACTTCAACAAAACTCAGTTTATTTCAAACAATTATCACAATACTGTCAACATTCTTATATTGATGTATGTCTATTTATTTATTTAGGGAGAGAGAGAGAGGGTATATATAGGGTGGTTTAAATTTAGGTCTATAAATTTTTAAGATTAGAGTGGAAGTTTATAAGGTGCACAAACCCTTGTTTTATATATATAGGATTTTTTTTTTAGAAAGGGTGGCACATGGCCCAAAAGTACCTTTTTTTTTTTTTTACTTTTTTTTTTTTTACCTTTTTTTTTTTACATATTCTTGCAAGGACCCATACAAAAAAATAAAAAGGCACTCAAACTCATTTTATTTTTTGAAAACTTAAAAAATGTCCTTTAAAAATACCTAAAAACATTTTTTTATTAATTTCTATACACGCAACTATTTCAATGACAGCGGTAGGATCTCATTGTTCAAATGTAATAATCATACTCAATGTTCAACATCTGCTATTTTAATAATATTAAACAAAATTTATTAACGTAGGTAAAGTGTTTATTTTAAAATAAAAATCAATTTTATTATAATTTATTTACATAAAATAAAAAGTAAAATAAAAAATTATGCCAAAAATTTTAAAAAAAAGAAAAATAGAGGCCAAGAAATATTCTTAGTTTAAGAAAAACTAGAAAGACTCTATTCAATTTGCAACTGTAGAGGAAGTTATACAGTTATACATCTATTCAATTTGCAACTGTAAAAGAAGTTATACAGTATTATCTTTACTTACCTGAGTCCAAACCATCAACTTCTCTCAAAAACTTAGTTTGTTGTCCAAACAAAGGTTCTACATTTACACTAAATTGTCCAGATTCAGGAGAGAACTGTTGCGTTATATCTAAGCTGAAGGTTTCATGGGAACTTGGTGAATACAGAACTCATGACATACAATGCGTTTTATGGTTAGTAATATTTATGAAATCTTAATCTAAATTAGCTTTACAGTTATTAAATAAGTCTTATTTTTAGGAAAGAAGTCAAGGTTGTAGTAATAAAATATAAAAAGCTGTAATCGCTAAGAAACAGATCAACACCAGGAGCAATAAAAGATATTTAATTGCTCCTGGTGAGAGAACTTCTTAATAGAATCTAAAAGGGTATTCTGGTTAGGACATGACATATAAATCATGATTGATAAAATAAGAATGGATAGAAAAAGAACTGAATAAAGTAAATGTATGGACAATATGTTCTTGAAATGCAGAAAGAAAAAAGACAAGGTTGTCTAGGCATTTCTGAAACCTGTTTCAAAAAGTCTGGAAAAAAGATCTGAAAAAAAAATTAGAAGATTTTGTTACATCATTATACAATAAACTTCCCATCAAACCAATAGTGTATCCACTTGAACGTGTTATGGTCAATAAAGAGGTTCTTCACTCTCTAGACTTTTCACAAGATCAGCCTCCATCTCACAAGATCAGCCTCCTTCTCTTTGTTCTCTAATAACTGAGCAATCTTGGCTCATCTTTGATAAGATGCGACATGGAAAGATGGGACATGGAACGGAAAGATGGGACATGGAACATGGACATGGAAAGATGGACAAGGACATGGACATGGAAAGATGGGACATGGAACGGGCGAGTTGCAGTGGCTTAAGATCCCTTCGCAGTTTTGGAAGTTTAACGATTTTTATTTTGAGTTTGAATCTACTATTATATCTAGATGTGCTTACGATTTGTCAGAGAGGACCATAAATCTTGTAAAAGAGCTGATTAGAAAATCAGCAAAAGAGAAGTAGAGACAGAATTTGTTTTTGTTAAACTATTTTTACAAAAGAAATAAAAAAGTGATAAAGAAAAAAGATTTAATATCAAATGTAATTAGTAGTATTTTAAAATGCTGGTTATTTAATCAAAGTTTAAAATTACGTTAATTTTATTTTTATTTATTCCCACTTCTCTACCTGCAACTCATAATAAAGTTATATTATTAGGGGAGTGGTAATCCAACTTCATCTAGATTCATCTCTAAGTTTAACATCAAAAATTATGTAATACATCAAACTAGATTTTGTAATAAAAATACCATAGAACTATACGTTGAGCTTTTAACCCCCTCTTTTTGGGGAGGGTGGCAACTTTACATGGTCATAAATTTTGAATGCTTCAATATTATTAAATGAACTTTGAAATCTGTTGAAATGTAAATTTAGTTCAGAATAACAATAGTTTAAATTTGGGCAACTTATTGCCCTCACCTTTAGGGTAGGGGGGGGCTAAGTTTTACGGTTTTTCTAGATCTCAAGCTCTGAACACTGGAATTTTTTCAATTTGATATAAGTATAGGTGTACGTGGTTTTAAATTTTTTCCATGTCTACATGTTATTTATCACGACAGCAACGAAAGCTACCGTAATCACTATAAAGAAAATAAAGAAAATCGTTTTTTTGTGACTTTTAGCAACTTTTCTATAAGTTTTTTAGAGTTGAAAAAAAAAATACAAATAGAGTGCCTTTTTATTTTTTTATACAGGTTCTTGCAAGAATATGTAAAAAAAAATAATTTGAATTTAATAATGTTTAAGGGTGGCACACGCGGGTCAAAAAACATCAATAAAGGGTTTTAAAAAAAGTACTTTTGGGCCATGTGCCACCCTTAAACTTTTTTTTTTTTGTGCATTCTTGCAATTTGTATTGCAAGATTTGATAATGTGTTGAACTAGTAAGCGCAATGTTCATCTTCTCATAAGATATTGAATGACATTTCTACAATACAACATTATAAACTCCATACTTTGAAGCCATTGAATGATGTTTCAACAGACAAAATAAACTTCATACTTTAAAACTATTGAATGACATTTTTACAAATCAACGTTATAAACTCCATACTTTGAAATCATTTAATGAGATTTCTACAAAACAACATATAGAATTGATCAAGCACTTTTTTCTTCTTTTTTTTTCCCAGTTCTATTTTAAATTTTCATTTTCTGAGTACTTTCTTGTGTGTTATATTTACTTTGTGTTTATAATCAAACACAGTTTGTGTTTTCTTGTGTGTTATATTTACTTTGTGTTTATAATCAAACACAGTTTGTGTTTTCTTGTGTGTTATATTTACTTTGTGTTTATAATCAAACACAGTTTGTGTTTTCTTGTGTGTTATATTTACTTTGTGTTTATAATCAAACACAGTTTGTGTTTTCTTGTGTGTTATATTTACTTTGTGTTTATAATCAAACACAGTTTGTGTTTTCTTGTGTGTTATATTTACTTTGTGTTTATAATCAAACACAGTTTGTTTTGATTCACCATATGTAAGCAGTCAAATAATTTTTTTTCTTTTTTGTTAATATAAACTTAAATAAATCAGTGTTTTTTAAAAGGGCTGATTTGCTTAAAACCGGTTTTTGAGAAAACTAAAAAAAACTATTTATATAGTTTAATATTAAATATACAGATTTTGTGTAATATATTTTTAAAAAATATATGCAAGAGTAACATCTTAGTACACTTTGATAATTGTTATAACATTTTGTTTGTTAATAATTAATATATGAAAGTTCCAAAAACTCGCTCTTTAAAAAAAAATCGAATATTTCAGGAAGGAAAACAAATTAAAATTCTGTAAGAACTACAGCTATGCACTTTAAAACAATATTTTAACGTGGCATTAATAAATATAATACATATATATATATGAATTAATAACAAAAAAAGCCCTCAGTAAGCATTAAATCTCAGCATATTAATCTAGTTCTTCCTTAAAGTCTCTATCAGGGAGAATCTCACATTCATTAGTTGGCCAGGAGTACAGCTCGTTATAAAACTCGTTGAATTCTTCAGGAATGAATTCTTTTAATTTGTTAAGGTCTTCCACCTTCGCTTTTTTCAGTGTAACTTTGCCACTTGGATAAGCTAAACTATCCACCTGTGGTACAGTACCTATATGTTTGGACATAAAAATTTGTATGACATACCAAACCATTAATATTGGTGAATGCCTTAATGCAGCTTTTTTTATCATGCTCATATACAAAATGAAACAAGTTACTAATTGAAAAGTGAACCTTCTTCCTTTTTGGGGTATTTTTACCCTTGGTTTTTGAAGAAATACAAGATTTTTTGTAATGTTTTGGGCTCCAAGCTTTAAAATCAAAAAATTCAGTTGCATCTACAATTTCTTTCACCGTAAACTTTTGTGATCTGGAACTGGTAATAATAAGCTTAGTGAGTTGATGCATGTGATAAAGACGGTCATGTGTTTTTAAAACACTTGAAATTATACCAATGTCCCTATCACAAAGGAGGAAACTATGCCCTCTCATTGGGAAGAACTTTATTAACTTAATCAAACCTACCACTGTCAGTCAAGTATAACGTAAAGTATAAGAAAAATAAGTATAAAACAGACAAGATTGCCACCAATGTTGTGGGGAAATAGACCAAATCATATTTAGAGTTTTTGACTTTTTAGTGCTTCCACCTATGTTATAATCTCAATTACTATATAGGCCTAGGCTTACTATAAGATTTAACTATTCAGTGTTAAATATCTGGAAAAAAATCATAATGAAACTTAGCCAACACACAAAAAGTGAATTTCAAAAAAAATGTCAAATCAACCCTTTTAAAAAACGCTGATTCAAATATGGAATTGAAATTTAAGATTTTGATTTTTAGTAATGTTAAAGTAAAAATAAAACAAATTTGTACCTTCTGTACTTTTTTTCATTACTTTACTTATTTATATTCTTTTTTCTAACAACAAGTATATGAATAATAATAATAATAAGTATAATAATATTAAGTATATGAATAATAACAACAAGTATAAGAATAATAATAATAGTTTTAACTGTATGACAATGTTCTATTCTAGTTATATGACAATGTCCAAAGAGAGATTTTGTTACTGAAACATAAAATTGCTACCAATGACGACAGGTAAAAATTTGATGATTTTTAATTCTCAATCTAAAAAGTGGGTAAAAAAAGTTCTACTTGTTTCAGCTTATAAAATATAAGAAAAGTATGACCACTTTTTTAAATACCCCAGGTATTAAAAAAATTGGTCTCTGACCTCTGACCTCTTTAACTCTCTTTTACTATTATCCAACCAGTCTTGTTATTATTGTACAATCAGTTTTGTTACAATTGTCCAATCATTTTCATTACTATTGTCCAATCAGTTTCATTACTATTACATGATTTTGTATAAACCTAAAAAGATCAATCTTTTTTTTTATTTTGCTTTCTAATTTTAATAATGGCTTCTTGCAGTTTTGCTTGAAGTAAGTTTGTTTTTTAAAAAAATTATTAAGAACATTAACTAAAAGTTAAGTTAAAAATACTAAACAGAAACAAAAATTGTTTAAAGAGAAAAACTACATGAAATTTAATGTTGATAAATAAAAGAAAAGGTATCATTGTGTATAATATATTTAAATTTCATTTGTTTTTATTTTCTAAAAATTTACTTTATATCATAATTGTTACCATAAAACAAGTGAAAGAAATACGTATGTAGCAGCAAATTCTTATGTAAAAAACAAAAACAAAAAAATTTGTTAGGAAAACAAATTTTACTTAGTATTTTATAAATGGTTTTTGTTCAATGTCTGTAGTTTTGTAAAATCAGAGAATATAAATACATCATAAACTCAGAGAATATCTGTAGGTTTACAATATAAACTCAGAGAAAAACAGCAAAGTCATTCAGATTAGTTATAAAAGGAGTGGATTTGCTAAGCCAGATAATTCACTTTTTTTAATTCCAAGATAACGGCAAAAAAAGTTTTTCAATAAGTTGCTAAACTGCTAAAAATGAAATGCTCAACAGAAGATACAATAAAAGCCATGTTTCAGACAAAAATTTGAAAATCATGATAATTTTATCTTATTTCAATAAAAAAATGAAAAAAGATATCTGGTTTAGCATGCCAATTTTTTTAATCTGGTTTTGATCGGAAATTTATTTTTTTAACTGAAAACACTTTTTGAGGTCACCTTGACTAGTGAATATTTTAATATTCAATATAAAAAGTTTAAGTTAGATAGAGTAGGTTTAGGACCTGCTTTCGGGGGTGGCAATGATGACAAGTTATTTAGGAGTAGCAAAAAAAAAAAAAAATTACCTGCTTGGTTTATGTTTGACAAAAATGCCAGAAAAAAGATTTGTCAGGGGTGGTATGACAAATTTTGCATGATGCTGGGAAGAAGTGTAAAGCTGGTATCAGACAGATAGGTGTCTCCTAGGCCTTGGAGAAACCTAGAAATATTAGCATGGTAGTCGAAAAGTTTCTTCCATAGACTCTAGTTTTAAAGAGAACACTAATAAAACAGACAAGAAAAAGTTTTATTTAAATTATACATTACTTTCCCAAACAAACCCTCAGTCAATGTAGCATCACTTTCTGTAACATAAGATAAGATAATCGATGTAATATAAGATAATCGATGTAGCAGTACTTCCTTGTAGCAGTAGGCTATAAAATAGTCAATGTAGCAGCACTCCCTTGATGCAGCAGGTTATAAGATAGTCGATGTAGCAGCACTCCCTTGTAGCAGCAGGCTATAAGATAGCAAAGTAGCAGCACTTTCTTGTAGCAGTAGGCTATAAAATAGTCAATGTAGCAACACTCCTTGTTGCAGCAGGCTATAAGATAGCGATGTAGCAGCACTTCCTTAAAGCAGTAGGCTATAAGATGGTCGATGTGGCAACACTCCCTTGTAACAGCAGGCTATAAGATAGTCAATGCAGCAACACTTCATGCATGTTTTAAAATACAAAAACACTATTGTAAAACTTTCTAGTCATTTCAAAGCGGTGTTTTAGAAAATGATAAAACTATATGTACTTTCACATTATTTTAATTGTTTTAACTTTTAGACCACATTAAATTGTAGCTTAATTGTTGAAGTTGCTTTAATGTTTTTGAAAGAGACTTTTTTTAACCATAAAAATCTCTTTCGACTAGGATATATATATATATATATATATATATATATATATATATATATATATATATATATATATATATATATATATATATATATATATATATATAAAAATGTATATATAAATGTTTATATATGTGTGTGTAAGTGTATATATATATATATATATATATATATATATATATATATATATATATATATATATATATATATATATATATGTATATATATATTTCATTCAGCACCATAAACAATAGTTAGTAAATGATGTATGTCTTTGAGTTAAGTCTGTTTACAGTATTATAATGACTGGAGAAAATTGCATGAAATCCACTGGGTTCTAGATTTTTATTGTTTGCTTTCAGATCTTTTTCAATCCAATCAAATAATCACATGGTAAATAATTGTCTTCTCACTGGAAAAATTAACTCAACTTTCTTTTTATGAATTGGGGAATTAAACAGCCAAAATTGTGTCATTGGTAATGTAATATTGTTTTTATTTTGACCTCCACCTCCATCACTAACTAAAGTGTGTCATTTTCATTAGTGAAATGCTATGATTTTGGCATATGTTGTTGTTAGAAAATGATAAACTGCACTGGCAACTTCATTTGATCCTCTACTGATTGAAATTCTAACTGGGTATATGAGTGGTTTAATTTGCAATTCCAATCATACTAACCTTAATTATACAATTCTAACCGGGTATATGAGTAGTTTAATTTGCAATTCAAATCATACAGACCAAAAATATACAAGCTAAGTTGCTTTGAGTAAAATGCCTCTTGTACCATAACTCTCGTGGTGTCTCAGCTTAATTAAATAATAAGTCTTTTTAATTCAATTGGAATTTTTAATCATGTCGTTTCATTCTCACATGTTGTGCAAGTATCAGAAGCAGGCGGTTTAAATGAAGTATTAAATTTACCAATAAATATTCTGTAAAACATTTTGTAAGAAATAGAAAGATCAATCAAAAGTGACTTCTTGAAGATCACCTTGTTAATTCTTTTTAAATATGTTTGAAGATAAAGGAAAATAAAAAAAATTTTAAGAAAAATTTCTGAAAAAACTCAAGTTTTTGAATGGTTTTCCTTCTTCCTCTCCGAGCGTATGTACTTTATGGACGACCCCTAACCACGCATAAAAATTTTTTTATGACAATTTGACCATGGTTTTTTTTCTTATATTGATTATTTGCTTGTTTTAAAAAATAACTAAAATAATTTAAAGAGAAAATTAAAGATAAAAAAATCATAAACTGAAAAGAAAAACAAACATAACGAATTATAAAATAAATAAAGAATAAACCAGAGAAAATAAAATAATAAAACTAATATATTTTTAAATTTAGAAGCGTCTTAATTAACATTTCAAATGTAACTAATTTAAAAGGGTATCAGTTAATAGTTTAATATATATAATTTTATATATAGTTGGATTATAAACAATTATGTAATTCAATAATTAATGATTTTAAATAATTTTCTAAAGTTTTAGTATTGCTTCCGATTTGGAATCATCCTTTTGTTACAGTGGAATGGAAAAAATGTCTCATGCAGGCTCAATATCATCAGAAGAGAAGGTAATATTTTTGATAGTTTATAAAGTATTGTTTTATTTTAAGAATTTATGAAGTTTAAATATATTTACTATAAATTTAGGGGAGATATTGGCACTATGATCCTAACAATTTTCAAATGAATTTTTATTTTAGGCAATTGTTTTAATTTATATCTACAATATTAAATTTGTTAATTACCGAAATATAACAAGTTAAACTTATTATCTAAAGTAAAATTAGAAATGTATTAATTAAATGTATATCAAAGTTCCCCACAGAGGGGATGCCTCCACAACCAAAATGTTTTATGGTGTCCCATGTGCCCCGCTATCCCCTATATTTTTTTACTTCAAAAAAGAAAAGTTATTTGTCTCTGTTTTTTTAATTTTTCTTTAACTCTGTTCTGATAATATTGTGATTGAGGAGATTATAATCATGATTCTTATGTGTTTTAACTGTAATAAGTGATTCTTATAAACTTTTTTTCTTATAAACTTTTCCTATAATTTTTGCTTCCAACAAGGCTGCAAGCAACCACTATTAGTATTGGAAGTTACTGAAAGAAAAAAGATGAAGTTTATAGAGCAAGATAATGATTAACAAACAACTTTAAAGGTTGATCACAAAATATATTACGGCGATCACAAAATATATATATATATATATATATATATATATATATATATATATATATATATATATATATATATATATATATATATATATATATATATATATATATCAATATATAATAACAATTAAATCAAGCCAAGCTTGCCAGGGCTCGGCTCGGCTCATTTATATATTAAGAGTGTTACACTAACACTATATTTTTATTATATACTAATATATATAATATCACAACTTTGTTTATTACATATATATTATTATAATATAAATATATATATATATATATATATATATATATATATATATATATATATATATACATATATATATTTGAGCTTTAATCGAGCCTATATGAACGAGCCTATAATGTTCAAGCTCGGCTCGTTTACCATTCCAGCCAAACATGAACGAGCTCTTGTCAAGCCGATCACCAAGCTGTTCACGAACACGAGCCAGGATTTACAGCCCTAATAGCAATATATATATATATATAGATAGATATATATATACATATATATATATATATATATATATATATATATATATATATATATATATATATATATATATATATATATATATGTATATATATATATATATATATATATATATATATATATATATATATTAGGCTGTCCCAAAACATCAGGTAAAAATTTCTCACCCTCTAAAAGTTTCTTTATGGTCTCACCCTCCTAAAAGTTTCTTTATGGTCCCATGATATTGCCTGCAAAATTTTTTAAAATTTAAATAATATTTAGTGGTCTAGCATGGTCCTTGAATTTTTTACTGTTGCTGTATATAGAGTCCGATGGATCGACATCTGTGAGAGGTTTATGAAGTTGTTATTCAACATTTGGGAATGCGTTTGGTATCATTTAAAAAATCTCAAAGGGTAGATTCTACACATGTTTCACTCAGGCTTGGTCGAGAAGTGGGTGCGATCGCATTCGATAATTGACCACGTAAATAATATTTAGTTGTGAAAAACCGACCAGATTTTTTAGTCGTTTTGAGAACACTTATGTTTATATATGTTTCCATGTTTGTTTGCAAAACAATTATAAAGTTATCAAGTTAATTCAACATAAACTTGAATGTTCTCAAACATCATGGTGTAGAAGAATGAAAAAAAATATTTGCACTAAAAACCTGCCAAACTTACAAACAAATCATATTGGTTGAAAAAATACGCTGACTCAGCAAATTAAAGTTCTAGAGTATTCTGTTGAAATATTCCTAAAAATTGTATTATTTGAGTTTAGTTAAGTTTTTGTTGAGATTTTTAGCATAAATTGTTTTAAGAATAAATTATCAAATAAATAATTTTTTTATTACAATTGCTCATTCTCAAAGCCACATTGATAATAAACTAATCTTAATTATAATGTATGTAATGTATGTAAAAATTTTTTTAATATAACCTTAATTACTTTATTTTTAAAAAAAAAGATGCTAAAGAGTAAAGTGATACGAAGCAAGGACAGCATTTGTTTGATAAAGCATCCTTCTGAGACAATCACGGGGGCATGTCTTTCAGCTGGACAAGATTTTATGCAGGATTTTTTTTTTCACTGTGTAAAGAAGTTGCCTGTTGCAGACAGTGCACGCCAAGTGTATGACCAATTAATGCTATTCTGGACAAAGTCGCGGCTGCCTGTTCACCAAAAGCTACACATTATTCAGAAAATCAAAGATCTGTATAGTGAGCAACAACGTTTATTGCTCTCGGGTCAGGTGTAATAAGAAGAATAAACTGAATCAAAAACAGTACACTGAAAAACTTGATAACATATTTGGTATCAGCCATGCCAATGCTGCTCAGCTAATCAGTAAAGAATAAGATAGGCTGTTTTTAAATAATTCAACATAAAGGTTGAATTAAGCGATTGCAAAATCTGGAAAAATATCTGGTCTTCAAAATTAATGCAAAATTGTGTTCTCTGTTTTCAAAGGGCAAATTAACTTAAGTTTGTTAGCGAAAAAATTAAAACTTTAAAAAATTAAAACTTGTGACTACAAAAATAATAACACTCTAGTCACTAACTGCATTATAAAAGTAATAAGGCTATAATAATGTTTTTGCTTTTTTAACGCACTTATAACTTATATAATTCATTCTTTGTTCAAGCAAAATTTTTTTTTTAAACATCTTCGCTTCCAACAAGGCTGCAAGCAACCACTAATTAGTGTTGGAAGAGAAAAGATGAAGATTGTAGAGCAAGATAACGATTGACAGACAACTTAAAAGATTGCAAATTATATGAATCAGGAAAGCAAGATGAAGGAAGCGAATTCCAAAGAACTGATGTTCGAGGAAAAAAACTAGACGAATAAGAGTTTTTGGATCACTTAGAAACAGTAACAGAAAAAGGACGAGACTTATATATAATATACTTATAATGACGAGTAATACGAGAATGAATTTTAGTAGATGGCACAAGAGACGCTAGCTCTTTCGAGCAGTGCCCATTATAGTATTTGTAGAAAAGAGAAAGAGAAGCAACATTACGACGATGTGACAGAGGTTAAAGGTTGGCTGCAAGAGCAGGTCCAACTATGTTTACAATGCGTTTTTGCACCTTGTCTGAAAGAGAAAAGGCATCATTAGAAGATCTGCCCCAGATATGGCAACAGTATTCCATACAAGGCCGGATTTGAGATTTATAGAGATAGAGAATAGAATCCAGAGTAAGAAAGTGTCAAGCTCGATAAAGAGAAGCAACTTTAGCACATGCTAATTTTGCAACGGATTTGATATAAGGTTTCCAAGAAAGATCAGAAGTAAGAGTTAATCCTAGAAGATGAAGGGTAGGAGACTCATCGAGTACATTACCGTTCATAAATATAGGAAGGTCTAAACTATTACGATAACGATTAGCCGAAAAAAATTGAGTTTTATCTGAATTAAAGTTCACCAGCCACTTTGAGCCCCATGCTGTAGCAGAAGTGAGATCCTTTTCAAGCTCAGATGCCCTCTGCAAGCAATCAGAGGGAGTTGGCTTCTTATCGTGACAAGAATAAATAGTAGTATCATCAGCGAACAATGCCACCTTAGATGTGAGAATAACTGGAAGATCGTTAATGTAAATTAAAAAGAGTATAGGGCCAAGGATTGAACCTTGGGGAATCCCTGAAGTTACAGAATAAGAAGAAGAGTGCTGTCCATCAAAGACAACTTTTATACTACGATTGGAAAGGAACAATTCAATAATCTTAAAGATGTTTCCAGATACACCATAAGAAGCAAGCTTATGGAGAAGACCAGCATGCCAAACTTTATCAAACGCCTTAGAAATGTCAAGAGCGATGGCCTTAACCTCTCCACCTTTATTTAATGCGCTATAAAACCTATCGGTTATTACTGATAGCAAATCAGCTGTAGAATGAGAAGATTGAAATCCATATTAATGATCAGAAAGTAGGTTATGAGATTCGAGATGAGAGATTAAGTGTTTGTTAATTAAAGATTTAAAAACCTTGCTTATGATAGGAAGAAGACTAATGGGACGGTAGTTGGACGAATCGGATTGCTCTCCAGAATTTTTGAAAATAGGGATAACAGATGCTGCTTTCCAGCAGGCTGGAAAACAAGATTCTGATAAGCACTTGTTGAATAGTTTTGAAAGGATAGACAACAGCTCCGGAGAACACTTTTGCAAGACTATAACAGGTATGTTGTCCGGGCCGCAAGCTGTAGAAGAGTCTAAGCAGGAAATCACTTTAGATACAGAAGCTGGAGTGATACGGATGTTGAGCAATGGATGACGGCTATATCAGGTAGAACGCAACTAGTGGAATCAAGAGATGATATTGATGAAAAGTTCTTGGCAAACAATTCAGCTTTATCTTTAGGTGAGGTGACAAAGTCTGAACCATACAAAAGAGGTGGAATTACAAACTTTCTCTTATTATTGATACTATTAAAGATTCTCCAGAAGTCACGAGAGCCTAATTTTTGTGATGAAATACGAGATTTCATGATCTGAGAATAGTGGGCTTTAGCGTTAGACAAAACCTTTTTACAATGGTTCCTAGCAGTAATAAACAGACGTCTGTTTTCTGGAGAATTGTTTTGCTGTTAGATATGGAAATAATGGTTTTGATTGGCAATTGCAGCAGCACAATTTGAGGAAAACCATGGAGAAGAGTTAGGCTTGACCTGGAATCGTCGAGAGGGAATAAAGGATTCCATGCCAGCCTGAATCCACGAAGTTATGTAAGAAGCACATTTGTCAACAGGAAAACGAAAGATTTTTACCCAGGGGCCATCACGAAGAAAATCATGGAAAGAGTCCCAGTTAGCTTTAAGGTAGTTGTAAGATGTACAATGATAGGGGGATTCTGTTGGTAAAGAAGAATTAGATAATAGTTTTAGAGAGACCAAACCATGATCAGAAGCACCTAAAGGTGAGTGTGGAAAAACTGAGCACTGACTAGGATCAGAAACAAGACATAAGTCGAGTAGAGAAGGTAAATGATTCGGATTGTCTGGAAAGCGAGTTGGAAAGTTGACTATTTGAGTTAAGGATTGAGAAAGCCAAAAGTTGTGGGCCTTAATGCCTGCAGAGTCACTGACACTAAAGCCAAGCCATTCAGTGTGATGAACACTAAAGTCATCGACAACAACAATATTGGCTGATGGATAAAGAATGAGGGCTCGGTCAATATAATCAGAAATAACATCAAGAAGAGTGCAGTTTTGGGATGAAGGAGAGCGATATAGAACAAAGAGAAAGGTGATGGAGTGAAGTGGTGCTAAACGAAAGCACATAAAAGAGTAGTCTGTGGATTCAAACCTAGTTTCCCGACAAATGGGTGAATTCTTACAAATGTAAATGCCCAGGACTATTAACTGACTATTGGAGTCTTTACGAATTAAAGGAAGATAACCATCAACACTAAGATCACAAAATGAGACAGCTGAACTCAAATTAGTCTCACAAAGAGCAAGAAGGTCTGGTGAACTTTGCAAGAGGTAAGACTCAACAGAAGAAAAGTTACTTTGAAGACCACGAATATTGGTGAATGATAGGTTTAGTGAACTTGGTGATGACTGTGGTTTTTTGTGTTTTATAGTTTTTGTTACTTTATTCATTTTTAAATTTATTAAAGAACTTGACTCGAAACATAGATAGTTTTCAGTACACTGTTTTATAGCCCAGGCAATTGCCTCATTTCCACTAATAAACCCTACCCGTAACAAAGGGCTCCAATGTGGCCTTGGCAATGCACACCAAAAGTACAAACAGGGACACCATCCATGCGCAACATGGCACTGTTAGTACTCTGATATTTTTCAGCTGTTGATGGAATCAGCCTCTCTGAGAGCTACCACAGAGTTTGGGAAACCTGACTACCAGCCGGCCTCAAAGCCATAAAAGTTTTAGAGCTGTACCCTCATTTGGAGATAATAGAATGAGTTGTCTAGTCATAAAAACAGAGGCACAAGCAAAACCCATGCATCGAGTCAAGAAGATCCAGCGTTCAACATCCTAAACTGAAAACAATGTATTAAAAATACATCTAGGCCAGCCTAATAGATGAAGAAGAGGTGCGAGGTTGATCAATAGATAGAAACTGTTTACCACTTAATGCTTAGGAGGCTTTCTACAAGACAGCAGCCGGATGCATTTAACATCTGCCCAAGATGAGTATTTTTATCGAGACACCATCTCTAGTCTTTACTTAACCAAGAGCCCCAAGGCAGGGGGTGTTTTATGTCGGAGTTTGCATCTCCTAGCCTTTGCCTAAAAAGGCATATTCTACAAGGCAGCAGGACATGAAGCAGATTGTACTAGGTTACATGTTACCAGTAGCAGGACAAACCTGACCTGACTATAAGATAAGTAATCCCAAATTTTAATTGAAATAGAAAAGCATCTACATAAAATAGAATGGATATTCAAATAATATTAACAATTTTTGGAACTTCAACAACTTTACTAAAACGTACTTTATGAAAAGTTTAAAATTATGAGAAACGTTACTAATGGTCCGTAAAAGCGAGCATTATTTTTCAAAATCAACCAATAAAACATTTCTATTGGTTGATTCTAAAATTAACACACGTTTTTATAGACTAGTAACGTTTTTCATAATGCTAAACTTTTTATAAAGTACGTTTTTGTAAAGTTGTATATTTGTAAAAGTTTCTGAAGTTTTTAATAATATTTAGATATCTACTTTGTTTTTTCTAGATGTCTTCTTACTTTAAATAAAATTAGAAATTACTAAAGTTGTTTGAATAAAGTTGTTTGAATAAAGTTGTTTGAATAAAGTTGAAGCAGCCATGGCGCAGTGGTTAAAGTTCTGGCTCAGAATCCAGAGGTCCGAGGTTCTACGCCAGCTCTAGCCCAACAAGCAACATTGGTACGAAAGGAGGCGTGAACTTCCTGTTAAATGCTCTCCCGCGGTGCTCTATAATAAGACCGTAAGGACTTCTGGAAGCACCTAAATACATATAAAAAAAGTAAATAAAATAAAGAATAAAGTTTAAAAGTTTTAAGTACTTTATAAAACTAATAACACTATTATAGTTTTATTACTCTTATAATGCAGTTAGTAACTAGAGTGTTATTTTTTTTGTAGTCGTAAGTTTATTGTTTTATTTTTTATAACTATTTTGCTAACAAAATTGATTCATTCTTTAAAAACAAAGAACGCAGTTTTGCATAAACTAAAATTCTGAAGACCAGATATTTTTCTAGACTTTGCGTTCCGCAATCGCTTATGTGTGTGTGTGTGTGTGTGTGCGTGTGCGTGTGTGTGTCTATATATATATATATATATATATATATATATATATATATATATATATATATATATATATATATATATATATATCTGTGTGTGTGTGTATATATATTTGTAATTCACCTCCCTAAGGCCGAGACAGCCACTACAGATGAGGAGGCTACTTGTGGTTATAATATATATATATATATATATATATATATATATATATATATATATATATATATATATATATATATATATATATATATATATATATATATATATAGATTCATACATACATACATACATACATACATACATACATACATACATACATACATACATACATACATACATACATACATATATATATATATATATATATATATATATATATATATATATATATATATATATATATATATATATATATACATACACATATATACATACAGACACATTGAATTACATTACTGATTAATGTTACTACATTGAGTGATTATACTACATATGGTATATACATCATTTATATGATATACCATTTTGTCTTGATGAAGTAATTATTTTCAATCAAGTTTTAGGTTAATCAAATTAAGATTTTTTGTTTACTTAGCAAGTAAGGGTTTAAAGTAAAGGTGATACTGTCATATCTCTGAAATGTTTTGATTTTTTTTACATCTTTAATAACTTTATTTATATATCTTAAAATAATATAGCTAAAATTGTTTATTGATCGTTAATTTTCATTAATTATAAGTTTTCATCTTAAATCTTTTTTAACTTAACTTTTTAATATGACTTTCCTTTTTAACTTCACTTTTCTTGAAATCTCAATAGATAAATTTTTATATTAAAAAATTTTAATTTTTATGACTAAAAATATACTACAGATTTTCTTAAAAAAAAAAATGTTCATAAATCTTATGAGCTTTTAAATTTTTTTCAATGGTTTCAAATCAACCAGTGATATTTTAAATAAACCAACCAAAAATATTTTAATATTATTTACTGATTAATATTTATAATTATAATATTTAAATATATATTAGAATATATATTGGAATAATATTTTATTTAAATGTATATTAATATAATATATATTAGAATTTAAAATAAACAAACTAATAATACTTACCTAATAATACTTTAATTAAAGCAACAAATAATATTTTAAATAAACCAATCAATAATGTTTTAAATAAAAGTCTATTTAATATAATGTTATAATATTTAAATATATATTAGAATTTAAAATAAACCAACTAATAATTACTAATAATAAAACTAATAAGTCTATTTAAATTACTATTTAGTTGAGTTTAAAATTGCTAAAACTTTTTTTACCAAAAATTGTCCTGCATTATTACTTTTAGATAATAGTAAGAAAATAAAGTGAAAATGCTACAAATATTGTTCAAATAACTAATTTAATGAAAATGGAATCAAAAAATTTCAATTTTAAATTGACAGAATTTCAATGCAATTTTTTTTTTTCATTTTACTGCATGTTTGTTTATATTTGTTCTATTTTAATTGTTTAGAGAGAAAGAGAAGATTTTCTGCTTGAGAAAGGTCAATAAATTTTTTTATTTAATTTACTCAATTCATATACAGTACCAACAGAAAGTTTCCAGGCCACTGTATATTTACAGCATAAGGCAGCAAAAATAAGATGTACAACATTATATTAAATATAATTTACAATTATTAATATCAAAAACATTGTAGTTTAACACAATAAAATAATTTTATGAGTATTTTAAATAATTTCATCAGTATTTGAAATATCCACCCCTGGCTTTTAACACCGCAGCAATGCGCTTCGGCATTGAACAAGACCCACACAACACTCAACAGAAATATTATTCCATTCAGTTTCTAGCAATATAAACAGTTCTGTAGCATTCTTTGGCTTCTTCCCTTTAATTTTCTGAAATAAAATTTCTTATAAATGTTCTATAGGATTCAGATCAGGAGACTGAGGAGGCCAGTTCATTACATCAACTTTAATTCCCTGAAACCAGTCCATCACAATCTATGCCTTATGGTAAAGCGCATTGTCCTGCTGGAAATACTAGCAATGATGCACTGAATTTATTTCAACATCAGTGCCATCTTTAGAATAAAAATATTAGCTATAGTTGGCACATTTAGATAAAAAATTGAAGTGGCCTGGAAACTTTCTGTTGGTACTGTATATATATATATATGTGTGTGAATATATATATATATATATATATATATATATATATATATATATATATATATATATATATATATATATATATATATATATATATATATATATATCCTAATATTTTGGAGCAAAAAAGTACTCAAAAGAAGGGAAATTTTATAAAAAATTTGAAAATAATAATCGTTTTATAAAAATCATATTGCCGAAAAAAATTGTTATTAAAAAACATGTAAAAATGCACCTTTTTCACTTTTAGTTAAAAAACTATAGTTATTATGCAATAAAATCTAAAATAATAATTTTTATATGAAAAAATTATTATTTTTGAAATTTTTATAAAATTTCACTTTATTTGAGTACCTACTTCACATAATTTTGAAAATTTTTTTTGAATAATAATAGGGCCTGCTAATTTTTGTAATTATAGTTGCGGGTGAAAGACATTGTTCTATCCATAAAAGTAAAGACTTTCCTAAATTAGTACATAAAAAAACAACTTTCTAGACCATAGCCAGGTTAGCAACTCTAAAAAAAAATTTTATGACCCACCCTAATATATATATATATATATATATATATATATATATATATATATATATATATATATATATATATATATATATATATATATATATATATATATATATCAATATATATCAATATATATCAATATATATATATATATATATATATATATATATATATATATATATATATATATATATATATATATATATATATATAAATATATATATAAATATATATATATATATATATATATATATATATATATATACATATATATATATATATATATATATATATATATATATATATATATATATATATATATATATATATTTTATATATATATATATATATATATATATATATATATATATATATATATATATATATATATATATAATTTGCACAATTTATGTAAATTTCTTTTCACACGTTTTTAAATAAAACAAATAAAAAATTAATAAAAACGGTTTTTATTTAATAAGATAAAAAAAACTTTCAAACTTTTAAAGTAAGAACTTTTTCAACTATTTTCATAATATCCCTTGAACTTAGATTAGTCACAAAGTTTTATGAACTAATCAACCAATTAACTTTGATTGTAACAAAGTTTTATAAAATAATGACCAATGAACTTTAATTGTCACAATGTTTCATGAACTAATGAACCAATGAACTTTGTTTAGTGAATCTTCACAGTAAAAGTTATGAAATGGAGGACTTAACAAGAATGTCAGCTTCAGAGCTCATGAATCACTGTAAATGGAAATTAGAATCAACAAATGGGGAGCTTCATTATGTATGTATATTTTATCCACATTAAACCTTTTAAACTGTAAACTTCTGTGTCCTGAGTTTTTTTTTGAATAAGTATTTTTTTATAGCCAAGTTTTTCTAACAGCAAGGTAGTATAGAATATTGTAATAAACAAGTGTTTTATGCAGATGATCTGAAATGAAGAAGATCTGCAAGAAAACTCAAAGATGTTAATTACCTAACATAACAAACAAAATATAAACTTTTAGTATAATAAATAAATAGAACTAATTGGATAAGGGGTCGTCCATAAAGTACGTACTCTTTTTTTTCGCTGAACCTCCCCCCTCCCCCCGCATTTCCTGTACGCTTTTTTGAGTACTCTCTACCTCCCTAAGAGTACCTACGCTTTTAACCTACTCACCCAACATTTTATGATATTTTATTATAAATTTAGTGTCACCATACTTTTATAATTGACCTACTGCCCCCTTATCTCAGAAACGCCATTTGCAGACCTCCTCTTCCTCTCCGAGCGTACTTTATGGATGATCAACTTTATGGACGATCCCTAATTAAATCATAAATTTAAAAACTTTTATATATTTAATTATTTTTTACCATTTTGCATCAGATCTATTACTGATCTAATTATGCAACAATTAAATCTAATTAAAAATATTAATTATATCTTAATTATATCCAATTATAAATTAAACAATTATATCTATACTTTCAATATTGTGTCCAGATATTTTTCCCTACTTTGAGGTCGTCCATAAATTACATCATGCTCTGAGGTGGTCAAAAAGCTGTCCCAATAGCATGATTTAGTTCATAGACAACCCCTTTAGGGCTTTAAAAAAAGTCTTGGTTATGACATTAAATAGCTAGACTTTAAGGAAAAACAGATATTTTCTATTAACTAGCTTTATAGCCATTCTTTATTTAATATTTATGTGTAATCAATTTTACAAAGTTTTTTGACTCAACACATGGATTGTACCTTTGCACAGTGGAGCATTTGATCAAAGAAGTTAATTTTATTAAAGTTGTCGCAAAAAAAATAAAAGTTTATATCTCAGCTAGTGTTCATCTCAGTTTTTATCTCAACTAGTGTTTATCTCAGTTTATATCTCAACTGAAAGAAAAAGAAAATATAAAAAATAAGAAAAGTATAAAAATTTAATATTTTTATTTGAATTTAACTATTTTTTTGTACATAAATTTTTGTTTATATATACATTTTTTTTGTATATAAATATTACTGATACAATATAAATTTTTTTTTAGAAATCTGAAACACCTCCAAAGTCGCAAGTGCAACCACTAAATATATCTTTAGATCCCTAATATCAAATATGACAGAAAGTTCATGAATTTTTTAAAGAAACTTTTATCATATAAATTTTTAAAATCTAAAATGATGTAAAGAGTCATAAAACATTATACATAGTTTTTGTTTTGTTCTGTTTTACTAAAGTCTAATAGTTTTTAATACTTTTAAATTATTAAATTTACTTTATCTATTTTTAAATGAAAATACATTCATTTTTTATATATTTATATATTTTTATAAATAATTAATTATTTTAATATTTATTTTAATAATTTTAAATTTAATTTAAAAAGAATCTTCAAAGTTATTTATATTTATATAAATTGTAAATTTAGTTGTATGAAAATTTATTAGAATGGAAATTTTAAAATGTACAAATTAATTTTTTTATTTAAACAAAGAAATGTTGTTATGGTTATATTATTGTTGTTAAAGATAAAATTATTTGTTGACTAAATGGTGAAACAATGATATGAATTAAACCATTTAGTTTTAAATTTTTTTTTTTAGAAGTGTTATGTAACATATATTTAAGGTTAAATAATAATAAATTCATTATTATTACGTTTTACCAAATACAACCAGTTTCATCCAACATGCCAAAATCTTCTTTTCCGTTATCTCTTATATCACAGCCAGTGATATAAGAGATAACGGCTTCTTTTTATCTCATTTGCCTTTTTTATCTCATTCGCCTAAATCTTTTTAGCTGTCTTCAAGTACTTTTATTTAATCCTTTTTTGCTTTTTTAAATATCAGATGTTTATTTAGAATTATTTGTATACACTAAGTTTGTTAAACTGTTTCTTTTAACAGCTTGCACTCTATATATTGACAGCTTGCACTCTATATATTAAAAGCTTGCACTCTCTATATTGACTCTATATTGTTCTCTATATATTGCTATAGTAATAATTATCATTGTATTAAAATAATTAAAAATAATAATTATAGTTGTATTAAATTAAAATTAAAATGTTTTAACTGTTCTTGAATAATTGTTTTTCCTATTTTTTTAGTTTTAAGATATTAAGTTAAGGTAATAAGACATTAAATTAAAAATTTAATTTGGTTTGAACTTCTGGTTATTTTAATTAAAATATGACGATTAGATATAAAGCATAAAAGTTTATTAGATTATATATCAAACCTGAAATATACTAATTAAAAATACAAAAGGGATTTTGCAAAGTAAACAATATCAACTCTGGTGACACATCATACTCTCTGGTGGCACATGGATTCTTTACTCAAATTAGGGTTTGATATGGTAGTTTTTTAATTTTATTATTAATAAATAATTTTAATGTTTTTTTTATTGTTTTGTAATTGTAACTGTTAATTGATTTGTATGCATTTTGTAAAATCTTGTAAAATTTTGTAATTGATTTTGTAAAATGAGAATTCAAATTTTATTTTTTTAGAAGAAGGTTGTTATTATGCAGGAAACTTATGTTCTGGTACCAAAAACATATATGAATCAAGTAATGAATGAAGTAAAGATTTTAAAAGAAACTCTACCCAAAGTAATTCTTTCATATCAACTTAGTTTTAATTAAAAATTTAGATTTTTTTCTTCCAGCTTCAAAATAAAAATAAAAATTGAAAAAAAATTAATGTATAAAGTGGTAATGTTTTTAGTTTTCTCAGGCAACTTTTTGAAAATTTCTTTTCTGTTTTTATATTTATTAAAAATTCTCCACCATTTTTTTTTTTTTTTTGCTTGTATCAATTTTGTCTTTTTGTTTCGTATTTCTATTTATAAACATTTTATTTTTATTTCGTATTTCTATTTATAAACATTTTATTTATTAAATAATAATATTTATTATTATTATAAACATTTTATTTTTACAGTTTTTAACAATGATGATACAAATTTTAGGCTTTAAATAGACGATTTTTCAAAGATTCCAAAAGTTTGGATAAAGAAAAAGGTAAAGTAAAAAATATTTATAAAAATCTGTTTAAATATCTGTTTATTTAAAATTAACAGGTAAAAAAATAGTTGTACACAAAATTAATTGATATCAAATATACAAATTTACGATGTATCATATTATGATAAATTTATGATATTTTCAAAAAAGTTTCAAATTATTAAGTTATTTATGTTTTTTAGTTTTAGATCTATGTAAATGTATTGTAAATGATGATAGGATGGAGTTACTCTATTATCTTTCATAATCTTTTTCACTCTTTTTATATAAAGTGGTATGTATGGGTATAGTCTAGTGTAGTGATAGAGTGTTTAGCATATTTATAGAGCATTTGTACCCATGTTAAACACAGTTTAATTAACACTTTGTTTCTTGAAGTATTTTACATGACTTTCTTCTGGAGCACTGTTTGTCAAGTTTTGTGTCTTTAAATTGTGTTGTATCAAAAAAAATCAACTCTGTTGTATTAATTCTATCAAATATTTTTCAATGAAACTATTAGGCTCCAAAACAATTGAAAATTGAAAACAATTAAAAACTGAAAACAATTGAGTCGTACTGAAATGAAACACCAGTTTGAGCTAAGTTCTGCCATTATTAAATTGCACAAAAGAAGAAGGGTTAGAAGTGTAGATATATCTATTTACTCAGTTTCGAATTATTGATAAAATATCTAGAATTCACACATTGAAAGGGCCATAAACAGAATAAAAATTATCACTCATTTAAATTATTACTCATTTTAACGATTCATCATATGAATTATATTATTTTATTGTGTACAGCTTAATGCAATTTAAATTTAAAAAATTCAAACTTTAAAGTTAGAAATATTTGTTTTTAACATAAGTAGTAATAACATTGTAAAAAAAAAATTTTTTTTCTTTTTTTTATTTGCATTCACTCCCAACAAGGCTGCAAGCAACCACTATTAAGTTGGGAGTTACTAGGAAAAAAAAGAACAGAGTTATAGAGCAAGAAAACGGTTGACAGAAGACTTAAAAAGTTGAAGGTTGTATGAGTCAGGAAAACATGAAGATGGGAGAGAGTTCCAAAGAATTGAACTGCGGGGAAAAAAACTAGATGAATAAAAGTTTTTAGAGCATGCAGGGACAGATACAGAAAACGAATGAGACTTAGCTGAATGACGAGTAAAACGAGAATGAATTTTAGTTGATGGAACTAGAGATGATAACTCCTTTGAGCAGTGACCATGATAGTATCTGTAGAAAAGAGAAAGAGATGCAACTTTACGACGATGGGAAAGAGGTTCAAGCTTAGCAGATAGTCCAGGTCCAACAACATTTACAATTTAAAAAGTACTTGTAAGAGATGCCTGACACCACCATGCAATTTTAATACACATGTTTCACATGTGTATTAAAATAAATGTGCCTAAATATCTTGTTTAAATCAGAAGAATTTTATGGTTTAGAACACAGATTTTTGTTTTACAATTAATTTTGCAATGATAAGGTTGCAATGGTATGCAATAAAGCTGCATTTATTTAGAGAGCCTGCTTGAAAAGTGTTGATTAGTTGCAATCGGTATAAAAGTCTATAAGATATATAGGAATGATAAAAAAAAATGTACAAAGACAGTTTTTAAGTAATGATCGTCGTTGTTATACTTAAATAAATTAACTTTTATACTCAACCAATCAGCTTCATTAAGTGCAATTTTATCAATTATATATCCATGAGCTGTCCATACCATAAAATTGATCATCTTAGCAGTTCCCGTTTAAACCTGTCATTAAGTATATATAATATTTATACTTTTTGTTAATGACAAAAAGCATAAATCAAAGCTGACGGACAACACAAACATTTGTCAGTTCTACATAGGGTATTTCAACATCTACATAGGGTAACATCAATACCTACATAGGGTATTTCAACATCTGAAAATAATCCACATTCATTAACAGTTAAATTTTGATAAAAAGATTTCACAACTTCAATAAACTGGTTTGTTGCTTCAATTTCTATTGCTCTCTCATTCTTCAATGCAGGTATATCTGGGTTCACAAAGGTAGCCCTGAAATACTTTGACCTCTTGTCAACTTAAATGTTATATTAAGTTGACTTGTCAACTTTAATGTCTTTCTAAAATTAAACCGAAGCTCATTTGTATTTTGCTTATCCTATGTAGATGTTTGTATTTTTAGCAGTTTTTTTATTACAAACAATTTATAGTATTAACAATTTATATATATATTATACAAATAATAAATTTTTTAGGTGTCCTACAGTTCCTTTTTAAATAGCAGTATTCACTTTCTATTTCAACTGATGATGAAATAAATGTTCAAGCTACCCACATTTAAAGTTGCTTTAACCTTTACAAGTTTTGTAGTCTTTAATGGCGATTTCAGCAGGATTAAAGTTACTACATACTATATTATAATCGATTTTAGTTTATATAAGTTTATATATGTTTTTATATATTTGTTTTTTTATATATTTGTTTTAATAATGATTTTGTTTATGTTTTTTGTTTATACTTCGTTTACTCAAGAATTAAATGTGCTACAAATTGATTAGTTTCACTTATAAACTCAATTTTTAAAATACTTCGTGGCTCAAACTGATGTATTGAAAAATGAAAGTTGACAACTGATCAAAGGAGTAAAAATGAAATAAAAAAGAGAAAAATAAAAATTAAAGAAATAAAAACAAAAAAACAAATTTAATAACAAAAAACTATAAAACATATAAAAACAAAATAATAAAGATTTAGAAAATAAAATGAAGTAAAAAACTCAATTAAAAAAAAAATCAATAAAAAAAAGTCTAAATAAAAATCAATTCAAAAAAGTCAAGCCAATATTAAGCAAAATAACAAATAAAAATTTCCATCCTAAGAATAAGAGTATAATATTAAATTAAAAAAATTAAAATTAAAAAATGAAAATAAAGCTAATATAAATAATCTGTAAAAAAGAGTTGTAAAAAAAAAAATGCAAAAAGATTATTTGAAAATTTGTTTTGAATTATTAGTCAATAAAATAACTATGATGGTTGATTTTAAAAAGTTAATTTTATTACAATGAAAGTTAATTTTAAAAGCTTGTATATTTTTCTTTTGATGTAGTTTCATAGTTCAGAGTTTTTTTAATTTGTTTTGTTTTCAATTTTTTTAATGTTTTTCATTACTTTATTTACAACTTTTATTTTTTATTTTCTTTTTCTTTAGATGTTGCTTTTAAACTTTTTTATTTTCTTTTTCTTTAGATGTTGCTTTTAATCTTTTCTTGAGATGTTGTTTTTAAATTTTTTTCGTTTGTTCATTAGATGTTGCTTTTAAATTTTTTTCGTATGTTCTTTAGATGTTGCTTTTAAATTTTTTTTTTTTTTTGTTCATTAGGTGTTGCTTTTAAACTTTTTTCGTATGTTCATTAGATGTTGCTTTTAAATTTTTTCGTATGTTCTTTAGATGTTGCTTTTAAATTTTTTTGGTATGTTCTTTAGATGTTGCTTTTAAATTTTTTTCTTATGTTTGTTTTGTTGAAAAAAAAAAATCCGCCATGTTGAAAAACCTTGAGTTTAAAAATTCTTTTATAACATTGGTATTCATCTGATTTTCAAAGCAAAATTTTTATTAAATATTTTTTGAAATGTTTTTGAAGTTTAGAAAATTTTAGTTGAATAAAAATGAATTTGAAAGTTTATAATTTGATAGAAAAGAAAATTTTATAATTTGATAGAAAAAAAAATTATTTTCATAGAAAAAGAGTTTAGCAATGAAAGAAAACTGTTAGAGCAAGAGTTGGAGTTTAGCAAAGAGAGAAAATTACTCGAACAAGAGTTTGACTTGTTAAAAAAGAGATACGACTCTTTACTTAGTGAAGTTGAAAGAGAGAGACAGGTTCTAATTAGTTTATTTGAAGTTGATGCACTTTGTTGAGTTATTTAATAAACATCAACATGACATCAACATGACTGTAACTTTGTTGAGTTATTTAATAAAGCACATGACAGGGCTCAATTTAATTTTTTATAAAGTCCCTGGCAAAATGTCTGATCAAAACTTGTTTGGTTCGGACAGTGTCTAATCAAATTTTTAAAATATAATTTTAATAGTTTTATGGAACCGAGTTATCCAATCGAACTCTTTGTCATGTATTAGTCTATTAAAATTGTAGTTTCTTTCTATATTATTTTGAATATTTCATTGCAGATTTTTATATAATAAAATAGTTTCAATTTAATATTGTATGTTTTTTTAGATAGACCTAAAATTTCATGTTGTAACTGAAAACAATTATTATTTTTTTACTTTACAATTTGATAACGGCTGCATTGATGTTTTAATTTAAATACAATAAAACATTAAGAATAACTTTTAATCTTTGATCTTTTTTAAAGTTTTTGTTTTACAGGAAGACTAAAAATAAAATCTAATAAAAATAAAATAAAAAATTAATTATAATGATTGTTTAACATAAACGCATTATGTGTAAATTTAAATATTATATTTAATTTTTTTTTTTAGTAATTGCATATTTTACAAAGAATTGTTTGTAAGTTGTTTTTTTTAAACTTGACTCAGTAATTAAAGCATGAAGTGATTTAAAAAGACTACATTATTTTTTTGAACAATTTTTTTTTGCAACCTTTTGAAAGTAATGTTTATACAACTTAAAAATATAATATTTTTTTCTTTTCAATAATTTAGTTTTACTTTTCAATAATTTAAATAAAGTTTGTTTATTTATTAAACAATCAATAGAAGCAATTTGTAAAAGTGTTTTGTAAAATTTAAAAAAAAAGTGTTTTCAACTTTAATTAAATGTTTTTAAAGATAAGTTTTAAATTTTTTTTTTCAAACGCAATAAAAAATGTAACAAAAAGTAATTTGAACTTCGAGTTTCTTTAGTTTTGTTGTAAAGCTAATTTATTTTCTTTTTTGTGAGGAAATGTTTTGCTTATTCCTTAGTTTTTTCAATTTTTTTCCTAGTTTAAGTTTAGCTCAACGCTTCTTTTTTCAGCGCATTTCTGAAACATTTAAATCATCAAAACAACTTAACTGTTGTGGTCAAGTTGTAAACAAAAAAGTCATTTCCGTGGTTAGCAATAATTTGATTGCACATCATTCCTGTTTTAGCTTTATTGTGTAGAATTTAGTTCCTGTCAGTCAAAATGTCAGATTACTTTGTAAATTGATCGAACAATGTTTTTGACATTGTCCGATGTCTGCTTGTTAAATTGAGCCCTGACATGAAAAAGTTATTATTATTTCTTGTTATTAGTTTTTATATATAAAATTTTATGTTTAGGAAAATGCAGATCTGCGAGTAAGTCCTTTATTCTAGGTTTATTGTTTTTTTAATTATTTACATTTGTTGATAAAAATAAAAATTTTCTTATAGAAACAACTGTTTGAACTGAAAGAAATAACTGAAGAACAGTCAACATATTGTGCAACACTTGGTGGAACAACATGTGGATTATTATGGAGAATATCTCAGAATGAAGATTCAATACACATGCTGCTTGGTGGAGTAAAAGCTTTTTTATTTTTATTTAAATATTTCCTAAGTAAATATAAAATAGCGTAAAAATTTCAAACTGATATTTTTATAAAAATTAACAATATTATTTATAATATTGTTAATTTTTAACAATATTATAAATAATATTGTTTTATAAATATAAATTTTTTTGAATAAATAATATTGATAACAATATTATTTATTCAAGGATAATGCTGATGAATTCTTCCAGCTTGCTTGCCACACTCTTGAGAGCTATGTAAATGCTGTCCATAGCAGTCCATCTCGCGTTGTTGGTGCAAACAATGAATACCGTTTTGTCATCTCATTAATGGGTGTAATCACCAACATAACTGCATCATCTTTTGGAAGAGAACTTCTTAGCTCAAAAGATAGTGGCAAAGAAGTACTTAATGCTATAAACAGTGTTATTTCTGAATTTCCCTTTCAAGAAATGAAATGGATGAAAATGAGAAATGTTGCTTTAAAGTGCATGTATAATATCAGGTGACTTTTTTTTATAATGCTGGTTTTAACAATTCATTAAGCAGGATTATTTGTGTAATAATTTGTTTTTAAAATACAAAAAAATTTTTTTTTTTTTCAGTTTTTGTTTAATTTCAATTTTTTTAATTTTTAGTTTGTCAAAGTTGAATTTTTAAATTTAAAACTATAAGAGAAACAGTGCAGAGTGTAAGGTTCTAGAGGGGTGTATGTAAACAATAATGTGACGTAATGGTGTATGCAAACAGTAATTTGGTATAGAGGTGTAAAGGGCATAATGGATCTGGCAAAATAATAGGATCTGGATCCCACCTGCATTTTTAAGATTTGGATCCGAATCCTATTTTAACTTTAAACAAAAACTATTTTACATGAGAAATTTTTATTTTTTAAATATATATGGTCAGAGTTAATTTTGTGAAATTCTTTGTAGCATTTTGTAATGAAATTGTTATTGGAGACTGTGCTTGAATAAGTGCCATTTTAATACATTTGCTTAACTTGACAAAACGTTTAACTTTATCAAATAATGAATTCCAACTTGTCTTGCAGTCTAAAATATGTTTAAGTTTGTGTCTAAATTATGATTTTACCTGCTTCTGCAACATATCGTCATTTTTAACAGGTGAATTTTTAAACAATTTTATTATTGTGCAAATTTTTTTTAAAGTTGAAAAATAATCTTTTATAAGAACAGTCTCTACTGAACTGTTTTAAAATTAAATGTAGCCCAGCTCTTCACCTTGATTAAGCTCTCCACTGTCATCCTCACTGTCATCCTCACTATTATTAATTTCAAAATTATGGTTTTGGTCTTAAACTTTAGTTGGTTTTACGTAAAGTAAATCCCCTACTGCTAAATGAGTTGCATGGGCAAATTTGATGTAGTGGGTTGATTAAACAACCAATTTTAACCATAACTGATTTTAACCATCTGTAGTTGTACTAAAAATAGCATTATTAACTTCCACTTTGAACTCAACATTTCACTTACTTTCTCATCAGCTTTTTTTAGATAACATACTCCCAACAACACTTACGACTCATAAATTATAATGGCTTCCATTTGTGTGCACATTAATTGATGTATATTTATCATTATACTAAATCTGAAATTGTTCGCTTTTATTTTTTTCAGTTGTTAATTGACTGTTAATATCTTTAGCAGAATCCAGTAAAATATTTTTAATGGAAATTGAACTAGAAGGTATTTTTTGTCCTTTAGCTAAAGCAAATTCTCGTAACCGCTTACTTTTAGCAACAGTATTAAATGAAAGTCCATCAATTGCAATATGATCTGTTTGTATATTGGCAATAGTATCTTCTGCTTGTACAAAACTTCTAATATCTTTTTGGGATGGTTTTGCTTTTAAATTCTTGGAAAGTCATTTTAAAATTGTTTTTTTAAATTGCTTTAAAATATTAATATGCTTCAAAGTGCAACAGTTTGAAACTATGCATATAATAGTGTCCAAAATCAAGATTATTAAAAAAAAAAATTTATGTAAAAAAACCGGGAACCAAATATCCGAACCAAATAGATTCAGGTCTAAATCTCAAAAAAATTGTACAGGTACCTGTGATTTGGTTCCAGATTTTAGATCCGACTATGCCCTAGTGGTGTATGCAAACAGTAATCTGGTATATACCTAGTGGTGGAGTTTTTACTTTGTAAGCCAGAGGTATTAAGTTCAATGCTACTGTGTATTTCTCTATGCAGGGTCCTTGTTTTTCAAGGTTTGTGTTTTGAAGTTATATGGTTCAGGGGCTATTCATATAACTATTGCCAAGTTTTTTAGCACCACATTTTTAATTAGCTACAAATGGACATAATTATTTGGTTAACTAAAAGCATTTAATTTTTTTTAGTAATTTACAATTTTTCACCTATTTTTTGTTATTTATTTTTAATATTATTATTTATACTTTTTTAACTCAGTTAAAATTTTTCAAATCTATGTTGATGTTGTTGTATTATTTTTTTGTTAATGTTGTTGTGTCATTGTTATGTTAATGTTGTTGTATTGCTGTTTTGTTTATGTTGTGTTGTGTTGATGTTGTTGTTAATATTGTAGTGATTTTACTAATTAGTTAGTGTTTTTTTTTTGTTTGTTTTTTTTTCTCTAATATTTTAAATTTAATTTTTTGGGTTTTTAACTTTATTTCTAACAATAATTTAATTACAGTTTATTATTTTTGTGAAAGAAAAAAAAAGTTGATATTTTTTTACTAAAAATTAAACAGAGTTTCTAATAACATTTGTTTGTTTATGTTTAAGTATTAACCAGAAGGGAATGAAGTTTCTTTGCAGCATTAAAACATTGTTACCTGATCTTTCACAAGTTATTCATGGTACTTAAGTTTTTTTTTCAACTCAAGTTATTTTTTTCGTGAAAAATTAATTAAGATTTTCAGAGTTTCTTGATATCTGTCCCACTTGAGATTTCCGTCTCACTTCAGATCTTGGTCTCACTTGAGATGTTGATCTATCTTGAGATCTTGGTCTCACTAATCTCTACTGCTGTGATCTAAATATATAACTTTTCTTGAGATCATTTAAAAATTGGTTACAAAAATTTTTAATTTTTTAGAGGATAAGTTTCCAGACAACAAGTTGCATGCATTAAGGTTTTTATGTTTTCTTTTTATTGTTTAAAAAAAAGTATTTTTAACAAAAATTGATTTGTGAATTGTTGCAATTAATGAATCTGAACCTGACTGTGTTGTGTCATTAAAATTATTATCATGTAGATTATTACAATCAATGGTTTGTGAACCTGACTGCGTTGAACTTTTACATTCTGTTGTAGAGTTGGTATAAAATGTTTTGAATATTCATACAAAGAATGTTGTTTATGTAGTTTGTATCTCAGATTTATTTTAATGTTTTTCCGTAACAATTTTATTTTTTCAGTTTTTAAATTTTTAACATTTAGTTAAAAAGTTTCTTATAGTAAATAATATGAAAATTGTTGTAAAGATTTTTCATTAAAAGTTTTCTTGTTATAGTTATCTATTGATAAGCTGAAAACTTTGTCACAGAATTCAAAAGGAGAGGTAGGGAAAACTTTAAAAGGTAAAATTAAACTTTTGTTTATTTTTCAATAGTCACCTTTTTATCTTTTATTTTTATAGGTATTAAGTGCATTTCAAGATTTGATTGCAGATTTGCTTCTACTCACTAGATAGTTTTAATAAGTGCCAAAAAACGTTTGAAAGAAAAAGAGTGAAACCACAGTATTATTTATAAAAATGTTTGTGTTGTTCATCTAAAAAAATGTTAATGTTGCTTTTTTAAAAAAAATGTTTATTTTGTTCTTAAAAAAATGCTATTGTTTTATTTTTGTTTTTGTTGTTATATTTATGTTTATGTTGTAATGCTGTAATAACATTCTTTATTCTCTTTTCTGTTTCAAAAAATTGTTTTTATTTAATTACTCATTTTCTAATTTATTTAGTGTGTGTGAGTGTGTATACACACACACACACACACACACAGTGTTTTCAAAAAATACAGGCGCAGTAAAATATTGACTTCATTTTCTTTTTTAAAACTTAAAAATCCATATTTGCTAAAGATTTGATTTATTTTTTATTTATTTTTTGAACGACAGGAAAGATATTTATTCACAACTAACATGTCAATAACTAGTTCACAATTCACAAGTTCTCTTATACAGAAATACTGGAAAATGTTGCAAACAAAAAAAATACTGGAAAATGTTGCAAACAAAAAAAGGCACACAAACTTTTTAATTGATTTTCGTTCTTCTATCTTCTCAACTGTCATAATTATTTTATTAATTTATATGTTAGTTTGACAATTTTCTACAAAAGGTTGAATAAATTTACTTATGATGGCCAGTTTAGTCACACTTAAAACTTATTTAATCACACTTAAAGCTTTTTTATATTTTAATATTTTTAATATTTTGATAAGACTAAAAGTTAAGATAAATAAGGTAAGATAGAGTCAAGAAGTAGTAAGTGAAGCAACAATCAAGAAGTAGTAAGCAAAGCAACAGTTGCAAATAATAGCTATGAAGGATGGCTCAACGATCAGCAATAGAGAAATATTAAGAAAACTAAAAGTTTCAGAGAATTACTTCAAATATACTCTAAATACATTTAAAACTACAGGTGGCAATCCAATGTCATGCAGGATCAGGAAGGTTAAAAAAATCTACTGAGCGCAAAAATAGTCATATTTCTTTAAGTAAGAAATCCGAGATTAAGTTATTGTGAACTTACCAACACATTCAACAAAAACAGTGAAAAATGTATACAGAAAACAGTTTTATACAGCTGTTAAAAAACCTATGCTAAAGGCCTTAATCTTGTGAGATCAACTCACAAGATAAAGGTGGTGTAAGGAGAGTATTGGGTCTTTAGAAAAGTGAAAGCAAGTAATTTTAATTGATGGATGTAATTTCATATAAATAAATAGAAAAGCAAAGTTCTTGTTAAAAGATTTAAATCAGAAAAGTATAGTAATCACTTTGTTGTACGGAGGTGGCTGCAGGAGTGTTAGTATTTGGGACTGCTTTAATTTTAATAAAGTAGGTGTGTGTAACTTTTATACAAACCGAATCAACCAATGTACTTATATAAAGATGTTTGAGGTTCTTTAATCATAACAGTAAAAGTATTTTTCTATATTTAATGTCCTAGCTAGCTCAATCACCAGATTTGAATCTAATCGAATCTATTTGGGATTGGATGGACAAAAAATTAGTCAAGGTACAAGACCCATATATAGTCTAAAGCAAGA